GATTTGATTAATAAATAGAAATACAGCTGCCATTCTTTTGTATTCTCAAGTATTTAGTCTGAGTTATAACAAACCAACCAATATTGAGTAGAACCGTTTTGAACCGGTTACCATTAATTTTCTTGCCGGTTCAGTTCCGGTTCAGTTTCAAAATGGCGGTGACGATTTCATTTTGCTTAAGGTTTGGCTAAAAATAACGGTTCGGTTCCAGTTCGACACTCCGCTTATCACCGCCTCTTTGGAAGAAGATGCATATGTGACTTTCAGAACAGCCAATGAGTGTATTATTTAATCAGTTAGGGGCCGAAGCCGGAAGAATCCCACCGAATCACGGGGACGCAGGGCCACGCGGGACTGGAGGGCTGCAGACTTCCACGTGTTCAACTACTCTGCTCAGGTTACTGTAGTTTAGCTACTTTTCTGAGTAGTTTATTAACTTTCAATTAAATTTTTATTTCGGTAATCAGTAGTTTACTTTAATCACTTTTTCCGAGGAACTTCTACTCAAATTACAAATTACTTTTCAATTTTAGTGGCAGGTTAGATCTTGGAAGATCAGCTGATATTTGCAAAGAGGGGGGAAGAATGTGAGCCTAGGCAGTTAGGGGGGGGGTCTAAACTTTTTACGAACACCCCCTTCCCCCCCCCCCCTTCCACTGCAACAACCCTGCTACGAGGCGCGTGTAGCGGACAGACATGACGCAAGTGAAGCCACGAAACTGCGGGGTTAACACCGAAGGCTGGCGTTTCTTTGTGTCCCAAAGCTGAAGGCGACTTGACGCATTTGAGGAAAGGGCTTGTCACCGCTTCTCCCCAACCTAAAAACTCTCGCCCACTACAGGAAGTGTACACATGCATCCTCACTCAGAGGAGGCAATAAAATGCAGCACCCGCTCTGAAGCTCATCTGGTTCTCCCGTAGTTTGTGCTGTACTCGAAGAATCACATGCTAAAGGGCAACACAAAGATTACCTTTTTGCGTTGCCTTTCCTTTCAAAACTCAGAATATACAGATCTTCAAAGATTCATAGATCGTTCGAGAAATCTTAGTAATTTCCCCGCCGGTTTTATAAATAAATAAATAAATAAATAAACAAGTGGCGTTGGAAAGTTCTATAAGTGCATGGTACTTAATAAAGAGCAACTCCGCTTCATTTTTGATATTTAGAAAACTATGTAGCCCTCTTCAGTATCATATAGGAAGACCCCATGTCAAATATTACGATCTAATTCCGTCTATATATTTAATAAATTGGCCAGCGAACCTCCAAGCGAGCCAAGTCGCCGAAATCTGCCAACTCTAGCGTGCGGCGCGAGGCGCAATCATCAGCGCAGTCAATGCCACGGAGTTGGAGCGGCCAACGTTGAACCACTACGTCAGAGGCATGCATACTTCATTCTCACGTTTTGCTTGTTTTTACTTTTCAGAGCGAAATTTAACGATGACGTCATGAGTTTCTCCTCCCGGTGTTGGCTGACCGGGCGTTCACGTGATCACCGCTGCCCTGCGCGCTTATCGGTCTGTTTCTCCGCTCCCCTTCTCCTCTTTCGTCTTCTCCCCTTCCCCCTCTCCCCCGGGCCATCACCGTCCACGCCATGCGAAGCGACCTGCCCGCGTCCAAAAAAAAAAGAAAAGACCTGCCCGCGTCGCGTGTCCTGTTTCTCGCTCCCTCCCGAACGTCACAAGACCACGTGGTTCGACGTGGGTGCCCATGACTGTGACGACCCGAGACCAATGTTGCCTGACGCAACCGAAGTTTCGGTTTCGGTATCTGCTGATGTTTAAATTAGGATTACACAAATATTATTCCACATTTCGCGAATCCGAAGACGTAGAGTTGTTGAGTATTACTTTGTGAATGTGAATCACATGGAAGCCTAAATTTTTCGAAATTGAGCGGAGTTGCCCTTTAAAGTGTTATTTAAAGTAGGTTAAAAAAACTTGTACTATACTTGAAGTACATTTTCTGAGCATATAGTTGTACTTTACTAAAGTATTTTTTTTTTGTACTTCCGATGACAGTTCAACTTGCGACCTAAAAGTACATTCCCCTAGTTTGAAAACAAAAAATGGTGTATCATCATGTGAAAACGTACTATCGTCTTTCGAGAAGTCATCTGGTCATTTTGCTGAGTGAAGTAACGGCGGCCGTAAGACCGATAGAAATAAATGCCTTATAGGTTGATCGTGTTAAATAGTTCGTCAGAGCACGTAAAACAACTACTATGTCGCGACTTGACCTCATCTAATAAATTTGCCGCCATTTCCGAAATACAAAACAAAACAAAACAAAAAAAAACTGATGCAGTCTGATTTCTCCTAAAGAAATGCATACCAGTTAAAAAAAAAAAAAAGCCAATTTGCATAGGGTATGAAAGGGCAATATGACAGATTGTGTTAAAATATACTCGTACTTTACATTGAAAGTACATTTAATTTATAGAACTTTACTTAAAGCTCCAGGTGTACTTACTACTTTGCTTGAAGTACATGACCGGTCATATAATTTGTACTTTACTTCAAGCACTTGTTAGATGTACTTTACGCAACCCTGTAAACAAGCAAACACTATCTGCAAAATCAAGCTAAGGCAGTGCTAAACCTCAAAGTAGAAATGATACATTGAAACACATCGTTGACCAAATAACAAAAAGAAAAAGAAAAAAGAAAACAAAAAGTGCAAAACAATTAGGCACGCAGAAATAGAACCAGCTATTAAAGCACATCTGTAAAAACACAAGCTCCTTTATATTTGGCTAGCAGAATTTCGCTAACAGATCAAAACCTATGTACTTTCTGATTACCATAAAGAATATAAACGTAACTTCAAAGTAGTTCGCTACCTTTTTTACGGTAGTTAGTAATTTACCGAATTACTTTCCATTTTAATAATTTCTACTCTACCCAAATTACTTTTGAGGCCAATACTCAGTAACTTAACTTAATTACCTTTTTTTTAGTAGTCGCATCTCGTTAATTCAAACTCGAGGGGGACCGAAAATTTGTTTGAATAATGCAAAGTTTGAATTACCGGGAGTTTCTTCTCATAGAAACGTTCTGGAAGGGACCTGCTTGTTAGTTTGAATTATCCGCAAGTTTGAATTAAGAGAGTTTGAATTAATGAGAGTCGACTTGTACATGTCTGCTGAAGGGGAACGAAAGGGCGAACGCCATAGCTCGAGCGCTAATCAACTGAGCGGGGCAAAACCGATCGTCCCATCAATCCCCATCCTTTATTTTCGTGCACCTGACACCCAATTACGGCGAACGCATCGAGATCCAGCGGCTCAACCGCAGGATTTATCCTACATCTCACAGAAAGCTCAGCACTGACGACGCAGTAGCTCTCAAGCTTATCCAAACGAATACATTCTCAAACCTACATATACAGCAAAATGTACCTATCTTCCCATGGCCAGTGGAGTCCTGGAATGGGGACACCACCCACTCGACCTCAAGAGCAATAACCTCGATGATTTAAATAAATGTCTTGCTCTCTCTTAATCAGTATAAGCATGTGTTGTTTCCCTAAATGAGGCAAAAAGCCTAGATCGCCTCGTAAGAAAAATTCCTGTTTTGTCCCAGTTCAAGCAACGGCGGCCTCCCCTGCTGGGACTATTCCACTGTGCACTACGTCATGGAGCAGATAAGAAGCCGTTCGGGCGTTCCAGATAAGTTTGATAAGCAGTGTACATTTTAAAGGGATGGTAAACAAAAATTTGGATTTCAAAAAAAAAAAAAAAATGCTGGAGATGTAGGCGGGGCGCTACAATCCCTACAACATTACTAGTAAGGCGATATCTGAAATGGACGGCCGTATTTTTGGAAAAAAAAGTCCTGATTAAACCAGGCCGACGAGGCGCGTAACCGTCAAGATACCTAGTTTCCTCCTCTCTTCGCTTCGCTCCCTCAAGGCCGCGAGGCGGAGAAGACGCGAGGCCGTTCCCTCTCCTTCTCGGAGAAACATGACGTCAACATTCCTGCCAAATGCGCCTCTTTTTTTTTTCAAAAATACGGTGATCCGTTCGAGATATCGTTGTATGAGTGATGTTTTGGTGTTTGTAGCATCCCGTTGTACGCTTTTGCCGCGTGTTTTGGGGAATCCAGGTTTCGGTTTAGCATCCCTTTAATGGACCGTACGACGATTTTTCTTTCGGTAAATTATCCGCTTAGAACTAATCCTTGACGTTGATAACCTGCGGAACACAAACCAGCTTTTCTCTCCACGCAATGGCAGTCGCAGAAAAAAAGAATAAGCAGCGTCACTGGAAGTCGTTGTGTCACGTGACGCCACGGTGTGAACAGCGCTACTCAAAGTAGGGCGTGGGTAAGACGGGCCGGGGAGAAGGAAGCAGACGGAACGCTAAAGAGAGAAGGAAGTTTTCCACTCTCTTCTTTAGCGTTCCGTCTGCTTCCTCCTCCCGGCCCGTCTTACTCTCGCCCTACCTTCTTGAGTCGGGTGTATGGTCGCAGTGTAAAGTGATGTCATGGGCATCATGCGATAGGACGGCCTGACGACATGACGTCACGTGACGTCGTGATGTCACTTTGCCACGTGACGGCATGTCACTTTATACCACTTGACACTTTGCTTGACACCGAGATTTCACGCGATCATGTCGTATATATCACGTGACACGTGACGTCAGATGACTAATTAGTCTTAATACAAACGCGTCATAAAGTTTCACCATATCTCATACTTTGCAATAGCGATTTGACCGATAGATAAAAACATGCAGCTGCCCATTTTATTTATTATTATTATTATCAAATATTTAGTTCGCTGTATTAACAACAGAAAATTAAAATATTGGGCTGAACTGTTTTGAACCGGTTACCCCGGTTACAAATAAATTATTTTCCGTTTTACTTTTGAGATGGCGGCGACGATTTTGGTTCGGTTCGGTTCTGGTTCGACACTCGGAGTCTGCCCAGCGAAATACAATATTGCTCCAGCCCACTCTCGCGGACACTGCACTCGTGAACATACGTAAACACCGCAGTTGCGGCGGTTGCGGCGGTTGCGGCGTCGAGCGGCGCGCGGCTCGCGCGGCGGCGCTCGTTGCTGCTCGAGCCGCGCGAGGCGCCACACGACAGAGATCCAAGGAACTAGTGCAAACATGGCGGCCGTCTTGCAGGACCACGGAGGAAAACATGTGGATGAAAAAGACGATAATCTAGAGGACGGCGACGAGGAGGACGATGTCGAGGACGACGCCGGAGCTCCAGAGGCTGCCAAGAAGAAAAAGAAACGCAAGAAGAAAAAGAAGAAAGGTGAGGCCCTCCGTCAGGCCCCGTCCGGGCCGCCGCCTTCCCACATGGTGCACTCGGGAGCTGCTAACACTCGACCGGTTTATGGGATGACACAAAAACTGCATGCTCACGCCAACGCACACTTTCGCAGCAGCTGCTCGCCACCGAAAATGCATTTTCCTACGCAACGGTACAGCAGTGAACTGACGGTGCAAGCGGTCCGGTCGCATTCTACGAGTGTTTGATTACCGCCCTTGGGCTATAAATAAACAGGTTGGGGACTGGAAAGCACCGATCGGAAACCGCGAAGGGAAGCCCCGGCATATCACCGTTTCATCCGTTTAAGGTCGTAATTTCTGTTCCGCTTTATGGCTGTTTTTGTATCTTCTGCGAAGCCAGACTGGCGCGTGTCACTGTTGCAGCGGCGGACCGCGAAAACGTGATAAGCGATAAAACGTGGCTATTGTCTTACTGGGGGCATTATACCGTCTGTTGTTGGTGTCTTGAGACTTCCCAGAAGGTGATTATAATTTCCTTCTCCAGCACCGCAAGAGGTCGACGGCGAGAATCACGATGGAGCCACGGCTGGAGAGGTAACAGATCTACTCGAGCAGCAACAACTCGATGAAGCCGGTGAAAAGAACGACGAGAAAGGTGCTTATAATGATATTTTCGTTATAAATATATCGCGCTGTTTACATGAGTACACCTGCCGATAACTTGTACCTGATAGTATGTAGGCTGTAGTCTTTTAAAAACATGGATAGTATGCAGGCTGCTGTCTTTTAAAAACATAAAAATGTTGATAGAGACATCAGAAGAAATGGACCTTGTAGCTGAGTTTGACGTCGTCTCTCCCCTTTTTTTCATTATCTTCCAATATGTTGGTTTCTTTTTCCTCCCTATTCCCTGGTTTTACTGTTGTGATGAACATACACCGTCTCGACTGCATGTTGACCGTTTTGGGTCTGGCCAACTTCTCAGCAGCCAATTCGTCGAATATGCCAATTTGTAAGAGGGGATTCATCGAAGGGCAACTTGTCGAAAGGGGCAACCTGTCAAAGGCGATTCGTCGAATGGGTTGAATGACGATCCGAGGTAAAAGTTTGTGGTTCTTTGTTATCTTTTGATTAAATTTTTATTTATGTGTGGACTAGGGACAGCACCCTTCTTAAGTTACAAGACGGAGAGGAAAATCACAAGAGTGCGAAGACAGGACAGTACCTTGAGACAAGTTGAGAAATGTTAATTTCGGGATTGTCCCTTTTGTTTGTTTTCTTTATTACTTTTTGTAATGAGCCACCGCAGACTCTCGCCACAAAGTGGCGTGACTGGTGGGCCAGGTGGGTTAGCATTTCTGCTATGAGCCGCCTCAGACTGTCGTCGCGAAGTGGCGTGAACGGGCGGTCCATCTATGTTAACACATGCCCCAGTGATGCATGCACGACGTAATGATCGCCCCCCACTGCACTGTGAAAGCGGCAAAAGCTGCAAGTTGTTATCTTCATCAAGAAAGAGCATACTGAATGTCTATTGGCGACGTGAACGATCAAAAGCGTCGCTGTGGTCGGCCCACCACAATTGGCCGGATGCTGACTATGACGTCAGCAAAGGATGTCTCATTAAGGCATATAAGAGGCATGTGAGAACTTTGACGGTGTTAGCAGTGTTGCTCTGAGAGCGCTATGATTTCAGGCTTTCACCATGCTCATTACAAACACCATCGAACTTGTTGTTCACAAGGTAAGGATGTCACGAAAGGTAACTAAACGAGGGCGCCACCGAAACATCTCGCCACTAATTACCTACTATAGAACAGATTTTGCTCAAAAATTTCAGGACAAAAATTTTATAGTATGGCTTTGAAACAGCGGTGACCAGTTGGCCTCTTCGACGAGTTGCCCTATTAAGAATTGGCCTATTCGACGAATGAGCCACCACCGAGTTGGCAGTTGACGAGTTGGCCGAGACCCACCATTTCTACATCAGTGGAAATGGGTCTGGATTATCTAGCTATTTGTTGAAATGATGCCCTTCTGTGGTCTGTTTTTAGCGTGTGCCGCTGAGTTCTTTTCTTCTGCTAGGGGATGCAGAGGAAGCCAAGAAGAAGAAAAAGAAGAAGCCAAAAGGTGTGTAATCTCTGAACTTTCAGCTTTGCATTCTGTGCAGTGCAAGAAATGTATTCTCTATAGCAGCCGCAGAAGCTATTTTTAGTAGAGATAGAACTTGGTAAGGTTCAACATTTTACAATGCTCTCAAGCAAAACTCACTAGTAAATGCTCACATTGAGTGCCATTGATTCTGGGACTGTGGAGCCGCGGTCCCAGAATTGCTGCAGCACAATGCAAGGTAGGATAGGCCAAAATAACATGCCACTGCATTGTACATAAATTAGTTTTCAGCTAGTGCAACATTGCACTTGGCTGCTCGTTGCTCATTCATACACTCGTGTTCTTGCTTTCTGTAATGACACAGGGAGGTAGCGCCACGCATAACGGTGGCACACGCTCCTGCATTTTCTTTCATAGTTTCACAACAATACCTGTGCAAAGCTAATAAGTGCAAAAAGATGGTGTCTCTTGCTGAAGTCTGTCATCAGTCCAGTGTCACTGCGGTATTTGGGGATCTTGGTGAAAGGAAATGTGCTCTTGTGTGGTATGCACTTCATTTCTCGAGGGAAGCTACTTGCAGAGGGGCATGGTTTTGCAGGAAAATTGTTGCAATGTACAGTTATGCTTCAACACTTTTTAATCCCGTCTCACAAAGGCAAGAATGGTTGCCCAAATATTTTGTGTATTTTCTAATTTGCTGGAGCATGAGGTTGGGCAGAAGTTTGTCTCAGCACTGCTTTCTAATAGAAAATTGTACACAATACACTTTTTGTGCAATCAATTTCTACTATTGGCAACAGTGAAGACTCCTGGCATGTGGCATGCAACTGCTGCCATTTGAAATATCAACTGACATGGTGTTTAAGTATAAGGTGTCTTGTCTTACTCTTTGGCAGTCGCAGCCAGTAAACTAGAACCTCCTTTTTCAATAGGGCCCAAACAGCAGACGGACCCACCATCAATTCCTATCTGTGACCTGTTTCCCGATGGGAACTTCCCAGTCGGACAGGAAATGGAGTATCCCATTCCAAACGACAGGTAAATTTCTACTTATTGCATATAGAGCTCTCTCCTACATTAAGTAATCTCTTTATACATATTCTCCAGGAGCTTAGGGTTTAGAAAATTTTATTATTTGGGTACTAATTCGCATAATTTTGTATAATGCAAGTCAGGGTGACTAGGGAACATCCCTGGAGTTTCAACACACTGAAAATTCAAGACCAGGGAAACACTGGAGGTTCACATGACGCACAAAAATACAGTGATGGAAGTGCTGCTCCAATTGCGCCATCAACGAAAAGCTGCTATATCTTGCGCCAAACCGCCAGTTTTGCTAAGAACTATGGTTCTTAGCAAAACTATGGAGGTTGCATCCGAAACCTCCGACGCTCAGGAAAACAGACTGGCTCTCCAAAGACAAGGGTGTGCGGACCGTTACGATCTTGGAATTCTCATCTTTCGCTGAGTCGAAACCTCTGCGCTAAATGCTAACGCATTTCGTCGAGAATTAGCGTAACGACAGCAGCGATTTCAGCATCATTTTTTACAGGCTGAATTAACTACCGGGTGTAAAAGAAAGAGGGAAAGAGAGGCCCTATCTCAAATAAAATGTTGTGCTATACTTTATTTTTCATCTATTTTTTTAAATAATCATTGTAAGTTGAACATACTCTTAGCTGAGCCTCATTTCTAAAGAAGGCTGGGAGTTCTTTTTGGCATCCTATCTTTTCCTACTACAAAAGATAGAGTATTGTGCTTCAGTACCAAAAAGGAACCCTTAATCATTATCAAATATGAGCTCATTTAGCAATGCAATCACATTTTCATTTTCAAGTGACAAGCTAACAGATGTTGGCATCTGCTCCAAAAAGCCCCACTGGTTGCTTCAAACCAACATTTGCCTGCTACAAAACCTGCTACGAAAGGTCCGCTTCCATCAGTGAAAATAGTTCTGAGACCCTGGTGCGTCTCGTCTTTTTCTATGCTTGCTTGATCTTGGGTTTTCTTTCTGTATTGTAAAGTTTGTCAGCTTACTCATATCTGTAGTGTTTTCCTTGTCTCCGGAGCGCTTGGTGCAGTTTATTTATTGGCTGTCACTCCAGATGGGCAAGTTTTGAACCACGTACAAGATGTTTAAGTGCGTGAAATACATTAGCATTTTTTGGTTGGAACATATCCTGGCTGCTTCTGCATTAATCTGACCGTACAGTTTGGATTGTATTAGTGCCTCGGATCAGCTTGCAGACACGGTACGATTCTTCTAGCATGGCATACCGTAATCATTACCATCCATAAAGGTGACAGAAAAATTGCGTGGTGCGCCTTTCAGTGCGGAGATAAGGCTATCACATCACGTATGTTGAAGGGAGCATGGGCCTTATCTTTGCAATCAGCTGTCAGTCACCCGTGACAATACGAAGTGACTGACAGCTTAATTAAGAAACACATGATTCATACTTGGACATTTTTGGCTAATGCAGCAATCTCGTCAGCTGAGAAGCGATAGCAAAATGCTCAGAACTTACAACACCCTGTGTTTCTTTAGTTGTCATTGACCATTACTAGATGTATTTACATAGACAATGAAGACAATTCTTGCTCTTTCACAGTCAGAACATTTTACGCTTGTTTGAAGAATCAGTAAGCTAGGAGGGAGACTTCCCTGAAATTTAGACTAGGATATTTTGTTGAAATGCAGATAAGAATGCTTGCACCATTCCATTTCCATTACTCGGCTGTGGTAGCAGATTCGAGTGATTGTTTCAAAGGGTTCTCCTGCAGGAGTGAGCGTGAGCCACCGCATACTTCTACTGTGGCTACACGCGCAGCTTAATCAGGCTTGTGTCTGTTTGTTTGATGCAATTGTACCCACACCAGTAGGTTCTTACTTTGGTGCCTGCACAAATGAGAGTAGATGGAAAGCTAACAATACATATGCCAAAGTGTCATCATAAAAGGTTCCAATATAATGAGGCTGTGCTTGTAGCCGCACGGGAAAAAACCGGATGACGGACCAAGACAAGAAGGCCATGGAGGGCATGTCTCAAGACCAGTACAAGGAGATCAGGCAAGCGGCTGAAGCTCACCGCCAGGTTAGTCCTGGATATTTCATTCAATTCCACTGATTACAGCTTTGGTGATAGCTTACCTGGGGTCAAATTTTGGTTACCGCAATTCGCTCTCGTGGAGCAAGCGAAGATGGCATTCATAGACGGTTAGCTTGCTAACGCAAGTGAAGAATGTGCTTCGTCTGCTAAAAACTGTCATTTGAGGGTGGAAACAGAACAAGAAAACACGTCGTCTGCTAACAGACCGGGAAAAGAGGTTGATCATCTGCTACGAACTAAGCGCTGCGGCGAAGTGAGATCAGATGCGGGCTGAAATTGTGATTGTTGGCTATTTCACGTTGAAAGCCATTGACAGCTTGTACTTCCTTTGCAAATCTAAGTTGTTCTGCTGCCGTACATAAGCGGACATTGACCGGTGGATGAAAGAGTACTAAGGAGAAAAACATCAGGAGCCATGAGACCTCTCTTGCTATTTTTATGTTTGCAAGATGTTCTGACCAAAATATTACCTGATTGTGATCTCGCGAATGGCTCATAAACGTCTCATTGGTTGATTAAAACGCAAACGGTGGTGGCGCGTTCAATCAGCAGCTGAGAACGCTCTCGCTTTCACCTTGACCAAAATTGGACCCTTGCATTCACTGATATTGTCTGGCTCATTGAGTTTATTTTATTTTTCAGACAAGGCAGTACATGCAGAAGACAATCAAGCCAGGAATGACGATGATTGAGATCTGGTAAGTCCATTTTTGACGTGGCATATCGAACCTATTCAATGGTATGTACTTATACTGGTAGTTGAGCTGTTGACGCGGTATGTAAACCATTCCCCGATTTGCACCCACTGAGACGGAATGAAAATGCACTCGGTATTCTTTCCTGCAGTTGCTGAATCCCTAGCTATAGTAATTTTTTACGTTCTATTTGAGTAAGACGTCCAGCATTTAGCATGTAGATATTGCATGTTTTTCTGCGTGCTGTCTACGTGTGTCCCGTCTCCTAGCAACGAAAGGCGACAATGAGCAAAACAAAAATGCAAAACTACATGCAACATTGCCAAGCCACTGAATTCGCCTACTATTCATTTCGCAAAAGGCATTTTCTGCCTTCTAAATCGAAAGATGTTCTTATGAACCCTGTTTTCAAAACAGAGTTTTCCCATTTGAGTAGCATGACCTCAGTCTGGAGATTACAGGGCGTTTTGCTCCCTCATAGTTGCTTTTCACTTCCGACTTGGTGGATGACTGTGCTGGTCTGAGAAGCGTGTCTGGGGCAGTGGTCGTAATTTTGTGGCATGCGCAATTGCTCATTGCAAAGTGGTGCTCATTCTCGTCAATTGACTCTGCTGTTCTGTTAGATGTGGAGGTCAAATGAATTTTCTGTGGATTACCTTTGTATCATGTGGCATATATATTTCATTTCTTGGGCAGGCCTCTTTTGTACAGGCCTCACAGGTTGAAATGTCAATACGGGTCAGGCCAGAGCATGTCGGGCCCCCTGTTGGTGACAACCCACCTCCGACTTTGATTTCCTTCAACTCATTGTGACGGTAAAACACTGGGCATTTGTTTCAATCCATACTGTTGCAGTCAAATTATTGGAGCGCGGCTTTGGCAGTGTTTTACTTGCTAGGCTTGTTATAAAAGTGGTGTGCTGGGCAACCGCCTTCTGATGAAACAAATTTGTCGTTTTCACCGAAGGTGCAATATTCCTCTGGTTTAGCAATTTTAGTTCTGGTCACTTAATGCAACGCCTATGAAGCGAAGATGGTGACGTGACCTAGCGACGCACATGTAGCACTTTTTTGGTTCCTTTGAGAAGAATAAGAGTAACACCTGCAGAGCCTACAGCTCAATTAAACTTTTTAGGCCATTGCAGTATGGGGTAACCTTGGTGGCAGCCTTGGCTACAGGCTAGAAGTGCAGGTCTTTCAGGAATGGTTTTGTTCTTTCGACTTCTTATTTGAAGTTTTAGGGCATGGCATGCAGTACACAAGCACCAACCTTTATCTGTGTGGTAGAATCAGACCCATTTCCAGATACCTGATGCCTCAATAGTCTCGCACATGAGAATTATACTAGGTACGGTGTTTCCGACGTTCGGGGACTCATTTTACTCAGAAGGACACGAGTAATGAAGTCATGACTGTCTGCATGTTGTCCTCGTGGTGGCTTCAGCTCGTTTCACTTTATGTGCAAGCGAAGCCGCAAGCATGAACATGTTGTCCTGAACAGTGCTTGCACTGCACGGTTACACATGCCTGCCAGGGACACTACAAGCCGAAGATCGCTCTTGCAGCTTCTGCCAGACGCACTTCAAATGAAACGAAGTGTAACGACGGCAGGTGCCTATGTTACTACCACATCTGCGGGTCTTATTAATAAGACCGTCTTTTTCCACCCCGATCCCAGCGAGACCTTGGAGTCGACGGCCCGCAAGCTGATCAAAGAGAACGGCCTGAGTGCCGGGCTGGCCTTCCCGACGGGCTGTTCACTCAATCACTGTGCCGCCCACTACACGCCAAATGCCGGGGACCCCACCGTGCTAGGGTACGACGACGTATGCAAGATCGACTTCGGAACTCACATCAATGGCAAGTTGGCTCTGCACTTCGTCACGATCGAATTTTGCAATGTGCATTAGGGTTAGCGCACGAGTTGATGAGGTGCTGCCAACACTCTAAAAAATCTTCTGGACTTCCTTAGAAGCCGGGAGTGGGAATTCAATCTTTGGGGTGTGCTGGTGGAAATTCTGGTGCTGTCGGGAAATTTATTAATGTAGTCATGGCAGTTACTTTGTTTTACTGTTTCAATGGCCAACAACTTATTGACAAGGCTTTTGTAGCCTCAGTTGCCAAGTGATAGCAGTGGAAGGACACAGCACCAAAGAACAAAAACAAATGCTCTGAGGGACTGTTCGGCATTTTATTATGATGTGAAGTAAGTTGGGAGTAGGTGAGAGCACCAGTGTAAGTATTTGAAAACATTTTCATATTCATGTTTTAAAGAATTAGCCATAGTAGTGCAGAGTAGTCTCTATTATTGGGTATCTTTGTTGCAACCTACGATGTGAAGCACCTTTATTTCTTGCTGTTCTACACATTAAAATGCAGTGCAATTATCCAGTAAAGTTTCTGGATTCTCTCTAAGTCTTGTGGGAAAACCTGAGATTGGAAAATGCTAAAAGGAGACAAGCACAAAGTCTCAAATACAGAACTTCTTATTACTTAGATTGTCTAATTGACCTGCCATTAATCGGTGCATCCACTGGCAAATAGAAGGCACACATGCTCACCTGCCTCTGTTTCCACCTTTCTTCCTCAGGTCAGATAATCGACTGTGCCTTCACTCTAACATTCAACAACAAGTATGACAAGCTCCTGGAGGCTGTCAGGGATGCCACTAACACTGGAATCAGGGTAAGGCACCTGGCTCTTCACAGGGGACCACTCTCTTTATGCCTACCCATGCTAGGGCTTGAAACATTGATACAGATTACTACGAAAGTGGAGAACTAGGCCTTGAAACATTGATACAGATTACAACGAAAATGGAGAAGGCAGCTGCTATTGCAAAGTCTGTCGTTATGATAACTGGCGGTATTACTTTCACGTTCATAACGTCACTTCCGAAAGACGTCGATGTAGATTTGTATTATTTTTACTTTGCCGAGAGTGGCCCTGCGGCCTTGCTTTTCTGCCCGAGAAGCTTCGCTTCTACTCGGCACTGAAAATGTCCTCTGCCGAGATTGTGTGTGTGCTCAATTGTCAGGTGATTCACATGAAATAGTCTCTTGACCGTAACAGTTGACCGTAATAATTGAAATTCTGGCGGCTTACGACGATGCCGCAATCCTTCTCCACAAAGCGACCACCGAACCTTGCATAAGACTCTCGACCACCTGGGACACCCAACACCACTTATGAATCCCTGCCCGCAAGTGTGCCAGACTAAACGATTTACAGTGCTGCCCGAAGGGGCACCACCAAAAAATAAGACAAAAAACTCGAGACCGGTCATTGGCACAGACACAGCATCATGGGTATCTTCCTCCTTTTACAGCGGAGCTGTTAAGGGCTAGTTTCCCCAGTATCGTGTCCGCGGACAAACAAATGTCGAAACAAAACTCTGGACAGCTACCGCCATCTATAAGTGACAACAGCAACCAGACAACCGGCTTGCCGGTTGTCTGGTTGCCGCCATCACTCATAGATGGGGGCAACCTTTCCAGCCTTTCCACTCTGGTTTTCTCACCGGGCATCGTCTTGAGGTCGTCCTAGGCGTCGTCCTTGAGGTCGTCCTAGGCGTCGTTCTGAGGTCGTCCTGGACGTTGTCCTTGAGGTTGTCCTCAAGGTCGCCCTAAAAGTCATCCTTGAGGTCGTCTTAGACGTTGTTTAAAAGTTATCCTAGACGTAGTCCTTGAGGTCGTCCTAGATGATGTTCCTGAGGTCGCCCTAGGCGTCGTCCCTGAGGTCGTCCTAGGCGTTGTCTTCAAGGCCACCCTAGAAGTTGTCCTTGAGGTCCTAGACATCGTCCTTGAGGTCATCCTAGACGTCGCGCCTAGGCATCGTCCTTGAGGTCGTCCCACCACAGTACAGCTTCGCTGGTCTTCCTTCTTTACCAGACAGGAAAGGCTGAAAGTTTTTTGGAAATGCATAGTACCTGCCAAGTCTTGCAAATATGTCCGCAAACCTCCCGAATTCCAGTAGAGTCTGCCCATTCTACATGTGCAACCTTAAACCTCCCAAAAAGTGGCTGCAGCATTTTTTGGGGAAGGCTCGCCCCACAGAATATAGCTATAGCCGTCTTGCTATATTGCCATCACGCGTGTTCCTGTGGGTCTGCATCTGATTGGAGGTTTGGTAGAGCAGCCTGTAGGATCAGCCAGGTCAGACTGGCTGGGCCATGGTAGGACTTTGTTTCTTTGTGTTTCTGCATTTGGTTTGGGCAATGACATTATTAAAACGTAAGAAGAAATTGCTTCTGCCATCCCTATGTTGATGACCTCATCGCCAACTTCTTTCTCACCAAACTCGAAATGCCACCTTTCAGGTCGGCTTTTTGAGTACTGTATTCCTTTCCATCCTACCCTGTTCCTAGAGGAGCAGCCTCTGATATCAATTGACCATGTCTTAGCTTTTCTGGAAAATATAGGGATTTTGCACAAATTATTGTCGCGGAATTTCTTCCTCGGTGCACCTTTTCTAGTTGATTTTAGTTTGCCTAGTTGGTGCAGTATGGCCATCAAAGCTCTTGAGCCATAAAACCCGCAAACAGCAACAGCACCACCCCCAGGCAGTTTTCGAGCGCCACTAGATATGGTGTTGTCAGTAGCATTGTTAAGTGTTCAACACAAAAAGAAATATTTGCAAATATTCTGGAAGCTCTATTCGCGACTCCAACTAACTATAGGTGGCGCCACTCATTTTTCAAGATGGCGGGTTTAGTGAGGGTCAGAGATGCGTGCCGCTGTTGAGCCTGTCTAGTGTGCTGGCTTCACTGAGCGACATAAATTATTTCTGGTAATACGAGGAAGTTAATGTTTTATGAGCGCAGGTCACCTCTTCAACCTGAAAACAAGAACGGTGTTTAGCGTATTAATTACGGAAGGATGCGCGTTTTAATTCTGGAGCGAAACCGAAACTTACCTCTATTTTGGATTTAATTTCTCGACAGAGGTCTTAATTTCGGATTCTTTCATGACTCAAGATGTGTCTCACATCGTAATTATTTACTTAGAAAAGTTGTTTGCGGAAACTTTATTTTGTGACATACTCTTCGATCCAGGCTGATATTCGTAGTTGTTGAAAAAATCAGTGCTGATATCTGTGTGTTCTCGCTGCCTTTTTCTCGCTCAGATAATTGTCATGGAGAATAATGACAATTATCCCAGCACAAGAATAAGAAAATAATTCCAATTTTTACAATATGTCCACGAAACGCATAAATTAATAAGCGCTGCTCTCACTGCAACAACCCAAGACGAAATCCGAGTCAGACAGCTGAATTGTGTGTGTGCGTTTTTATAGCACCGCGTGACGCGTAGGACTTCATATTACATCCAGCGTTTAACTGTTTGTCTATCTTGATAACTATGTCAGAGTTTTTCATATGCTAAAAAGAACTCAGAATTATACCTTTCTGGAAAGACTATTATGGTTAAATAGATTATTCTCGTGATCTTGGCGTTAATTAGAGGCATACATTGCCGTGATTTGTATTGATAATAATAATATTAAAATTCGCATATTTGAATAAGTAATTCTTCAAGCTCTAATATAATTTGTTGCTTATGATCTAATTTTAAACGCGCGAAGAAATATGACAATGAAAACTGTGCTAATTATCGTCACTGGTTCCAATTGCTGCGTTTTAATTACAAATAAAATAAAAAGAGTCTAAAATCAGTGCAAACATTCTAGCTAATGTGAGAAATCCATGTAAAATTACATTAATTGTGGGTAAAGTATATTGTGCTATCAAAGTCGTGACATTTGACAAGCGGCGAAACGTCCAAAGTCGCCGCCAATATACTTCCAGACCAAATGCCCAAAAGTTAAAAAAAGCTTTTTTTTAATACTAGTTTTCTTATAACATTTATTTACTTTTGTATCTCCTCGCCGTCGTTATGCCAATCTCAGACTTTCCAGTTCGAAGGGACGCCTACCTGCTTGCACGTCTGCTCACTGCAGCATGTTTCGTTGGCGTTGGAAGCCGGTGAAACAGTAGTGAGTTTTAATATTGTGTATACGAGCGAACTCAAGCCCTGTGTGTTTGCGTTAGTTTTGCGTGTTCCACACTGCGCGTGCGCGGAGCCCAAAATTGCGGTCTTGGATGGCGCATGGCGATGAGGCGTACGCACAACGTGGGGCACGCAACTCTAACGCAAACGTACACCGCTTGGGTTTGCTTCTATGCGCAATAATAAAACTCTCCAGTAAGGTACAATCCCATACCGGCTGCAGCACTACGTTGGGACAGTGAAGAGTATTGTTTGCTTTCGGAAACGACACTTCGCGAGCCATGATCGCGAGCAGTTCCGCCGTGCCCGCTGAGCAGGAGAATCGGGGGACCCTCACTAGAGCGCTTCCCGTTTCCGCCACGGGAGGGCGAGCGCCGAGCTGGAGACGCGAATATGGTTATGTTTCCATGTTTCGTCTAGTAAAGGTGGGAAGCTTGGAATTTGTACAACTTGTACCTGGAATGTCAGCGTCTGGCTCCAACATGCTGCAAATCGCATAGCATGAGTTCCAGCAAATGCACAAATTAGGCATCGCTTGACCGTCGTTGATCTCATGGACCTTACCACTGCGCATGGCCCCGAAGAAAACAGCAGGTGATGAAGACCGTGCAGAGAGTGTCGCTCACTGCGTTATGACTCTGCACTGCTATCCCATTCCTCACATTGAAGTCACATCATACAGCCCCGATGGAGCGTTCATTTTTTCCTTAATATACTTGGTGCGTGCCGATCGCCAGATGTTTGTCGCCCCAGACGACATGCCGAAAACTGTTGTCATCACTCCCTTTGGACTTAATGAATTAACTGGAATGCTGCCCAAACCTTCCGAAGGTTTATTGAGTAGATACTCCGAGACTGCACCCTCTGCCGTGCCCATCTTGATGACCTCATTGCAAACTTCTTTCCCGCCAAACTCGAAACACCACCTTCAGGCAGTTTTCGAGCACCTCACTGCATAGATATGGCATCGTCATCGACATTGCCATGTGTCCCTTAGGCGTGCCAGATTTGGAGTTATCGCAACATTGCATTAACAAGAAGATTATCAGTTCTCTTCCCTCAAAGTAGTGGTTATGCAAAAATGTTCCTCGCCCACCAATGTTACGACAGCTATTGCAAGCTCCTCGGAGTTGTCAACCTCCACTGGTGTTTCATTTTCTATTCACGATGGACGTGCAACATGGGAGCAGCTACGCCAATCTCGTGGCAGATGCGTTGTCGTGGCTCATCATTGTTGCCTCACAATACCCGGTGATTGACTTTGCTGTCGTCGCTGCAGCCCAGAAAATGGTTACTTTGCTCTTCAAACTTAGTTCGACCACGCACTCTATGGAGCTGGGCAAACTGCTTTGGCTGACGTGCAACGCGACTGTATGGTGCGTCATTCTAACAAAGATGCCTTGTCCTTCCCTTCCTGCACCATTCCGTGCTGTGGCGTTTGAGGCATTACATTCATTGTTGTGCTCGGGCGTTCTAGCTGGAAAGCGTGGCTTGTTACCACGCTTTCCATTTGGTTTGACATAAATCTTGGAGTTCTCCTGCGGGCTCAAACACTTGTTTCCTGTCTGTGATTTAAATTCGGCAGCATATTATCGATTTTCTGGACTTTTGCCATTCTTGGTGTGAGGTTCGATCATATCCATGTGGACAGACTGCCAAGCAGCTACCACCGTTGGA